ATTTATTATATCAAGTTTAGCTGTCAATGAAATTACATTTATATTATATTTTTCTTTACAAGTTTTAGACTAATTCAAACCACAATAATATATAATATATTATTGTATAATATTTATATGTACATATATATTAAACCTGGAGCTAAGATTAAAACTATTATAAAAATTAATATTAACCTCACCAGTCTTCCGGGTTGAACCGCGTTGATTTCCATTGCGTCGAGCTTTCGACTTCCTTTCTGATGTCTTCTTCAGGGCTTTCGAGGTCTCAGTCTCCCGAGCCTCCAAACACTACTACACTGATCACTATTCACTTCACTACTACACCGCGGAGATCTTTCCGAACATATATATATATATATATATATATATATATATATATATATATTGGTATGATGTGTTGTTTCTGTATGAGCTATGAGTAAATTTGAATGATATATGTAAGGATAGGGTTTTTATCGCAGTTCTCAAAGAATTAGTTTGTAAGTACTTTTTTAAATTATCTTTATTATAACTATTATGAAACAAACATATCTATCTAATATAAGCAATATCAATTTAAAACAATCTATCTAAAATTTAAAATTCTTACAATTATTAAATTATTAATAAAATTTGGTACCTTTCTGTCACTGAACGCCTAAAGTTTTTCCAAAATTAAAGTTATTATCACCACTCGATTTCTTCTTACTCAGCCTTGGTTATCCAACAATTTTAATATGTTTCTTCTTAATTATCTCCACTCACCATATAAATATATAAATTTAAATCCTTGTAATTTCCATATAATGTACTTTCAAATATACTGGATCTTGTGATTGTATTATTGAATGCTTACTTCAATGAATTAACTTCATACTGTCACTATATTACTGTAGTAATAATTAATCTCCAACTGTATTTGACTTAATTAATTCATTTAACTTAATTAATGCCTTCTTCTAGCTAATAATCTCTTCGTAACCTCATAAATTCTTCTTAATTCTTCTTTGTAATTAATAATCACATGTAACTGACTTAATAATCCTTGAATTGTTAAATTCTTCAAACTAATTCACTTAATAATTGACTGTAACTTCTTGTAACTAACTAACTCACTTCACGAATCAACTCTAACTTAATTAATAATCTTCTTGTAACTAAATTCTTGAATTCTAACTTTTCTGACTGCTTAACTAACTGATACTGACTAACTCCTCTAACTGATAACTGATGATCTGCTCCAAATTACATAGTATTTATATATTTTTCCTGGTTCTAGAATAATCTAGCAATAAATAAGGTTCGAATCATTCTATTTTTTCTATCTGAACATTCTGGAATCAATGGAATGGTTTTTGTTTATGTGATGGATTATGGAAATAGTCCTATTGACGTTTCTAGAATTTTATCTGGTCTACATGTACAATTTAACTAACCTTTAGGCTCTCCAGATCAGAATTACACTATTATATGTAACATAAACATTTATATGAAATATATTATACTATTTTACATCCTTAATTATATTTTAAATTAACATTACAAATAGATAAACCCCTTTTTTACTTTGACACTACAGTGTATACCTGCTTGCATACATATGGCTGACTTATATATTATTAAAAAAAACTTTCAACATTTATTATATGCTAGATTCTTAAAAATACCCTCATATAATTTTTTTTTAATAATATTATCTAGTATATAACTTATAAATTATGTCTTTAATTACTATTTAAATAAATTTATTAATTAACAGTGTATATCTGGTTGTATATACACAAGGCTGACTTAAATATATTTCTATGCTAATTTATTGTATTTCTGTTCTCATTACAATACATATATATATATATATATATATATATATATATATATATATATATATATATATATATATAAAGTAGTTAGGTATTATTGACTGACACGTTATGTAAAATAAAGTTTTATTTTGAGGATGCAGTCATTTAAGTAGGGCAGGATAAGTAAAACTCTTTGTTCTTAAATCAAGCTTTCGCAAAATTTATTTGCTTCATCAGGATATGCTAAAATATGTTATGGTAAATACAATGAAATTAGAATTAAGAAAAACATTGTATAAAACTATATAAAAACTTACATGAGGTTAAACCATTAAATTATTAAATTCACAAAACATTATTAATTTTTCTAAATTATATTTTTATGCAAGTACAATATTTTAATTTTAAATATATTATGACATTGATTAATAATGATGTTTGATATATGTCAGAAAGACACTCGTGTCTGTTTTTATTATTGATAATTAGCTCTATAATATTATGCTTACGTAAAAAGTGGCGCCAAATATGAATATTTAAATTTTTGAAAATATAGTATTTATAGTCAGAAAATCATATATTAGAAAATTAAAGTATTAATTTTCGTAAGATAGAATGTAATTATATATATTGCTGAGTTTGTTAATATCAGTTTTTTTATTAACGCATTGATATTTATTTATGCATACATTTCTAAAAATTCTCTTTTATTTAATTGGTTTTCACGTCTTAATATATTAGTTTCATTAAAATTAAATGAATGATTATTATTAATTGCATGATCTATTAATGCACACGTATTTTTATTATTTCTAAGGTCACTTTTATGTGATGTTAGTCTACCTATTAGATTTCTTGATGTGTGTCCGATGTATGACTTATCACAATTTTGGCATGGTATTCTATAAACTACATTTGAGCTTTCCATAATGCTAATAGGTGATTTAGTTTTTGTATATAATGATGCTAATGTCTTAACATTTTTAGTTGCAATTTTAATATGAGAATAGTTAGCAAAGACTTTAGTTAATTTGGTTGTTAATGTTGGTATGTAAGGTAGTGATGTGAAAGTAAATTGAGATTGCATGATTTGTTGATTTGGTTCTATTATCTGATTCATGTCAATGATTCTGTTATTAGGATTGTTAAATAAAAATTTGTTAATTAGTTTAATTGGATATGAATTCTCTAATAAAATGTCTTTCAGTTATATTAACCCTTTGTTGATGTTATTGGTGTGTGATAATTTGATTATTCTGTTTTTTAAAGCCAATATTAAATTTATTTTCATATGAGGTGGATGTTGAGAATGATAATTAATAAATCTGTTACTAACTATAGGTTTTCTATACCATTCAGTGCTTAATATATTTTGTGCATTTCGTTTGATTCTTATGTCAAGGTATGGGATGCTATTATCTATCTCTTTTTCACATGTAAATTGTAAATGTTCACTATAATTATTAAAAGTTTGTAAAGTTTCATTTATTTTGTCTGTAGGTAAAGCAAGTATTAAGTCATCATTTTTGATTCTAATGTATTGATTTTTGATAATGCATTCTATAAACAAATTTTTGGCACACCTATGGGCTCAAGTATATCATGTATATTATGTAATTATGTACTAGACGATTTAATAACAGATTCTTTAAATAAATTGCCTTTTCATATCCCGTTTATCAAACGTTTTGTGGATGACTTAATACTTGCTTTACCTACAGACAAAATAAATGAAACTTTACAAACTTTTAATAATTATAGTGAACATTTACAATTTACATGTGAAAAAGAGATAGATAATAGCATCCCATACCTTGACATAAGAATCAAACGAAATGCACAAAATATATTAAGCACTGAATGGTATAGAAAACCTATAGTTATTAACAGATTTATTAATTATCATTCCCAACATCCACCTCATATGAAAATAAATTTAATATTGGCTTTAAAAAACAGAATAATCAAATTATCACACACTAATAACATCAACAAAGGGTTAATAGAACTGAAAGACATTTTATTAGAGAATTCATATCCAATTAAACTAATTAACAAATTTTTATTTAACAATCCTAATAACAGAATCATTGACATGAATCAGATAATAGAACCAAATCAACAAATCATGCAATCTCAATTTACTTTCACATCACTACCTTACATACCAACATTAACAACCAAATTAACTAAAGTCTTTGCTAACTATTCTCATATTAAAATTGCAACTAAAAATGTTAAGACATTAGCATCATTATATACAAAAACTAAATCACCTATTAGCATTATGGAAAGCTCAAATGTAGTTTATAGAATACCATGCCAAAATTGTGATAAGTCATACATCGGACACACATCAAGAAATCTAATAGGTAGACTAACATCACATAAAAGTGACCTTAGAAATAATAAAAATACGTGTGCATTAATAGATCATGCAATTAATAATAATCATTCATTTAATTTTAATGAAACTAATATATTAAGACGTGAAAACCAATTAAATAAAAGAGAATTTTTAGAAATGGTATGCATAAATAAATATCAATGCGTTAATAAAAAAACTGATATTAACAAACTCAGCAATATATATAATTACATTCTATCTTACGAAAATTAATACTTTAATTTTCTAATATATGATTTTCTGACTATAAATACTATATTTTCAAAAATTTAAATATTCATATTTGGCGCCACTTTTTACGTAAGCATAATATTATAGAGCTAATTATCAATAATAAAAACAGACACGAGTGTCTTTTTGACATATATCAAACATCATTATTAATCAATGTCATAATATATTTAAAATTAAAATATATTGTACTTGCATAAAAATATAATTTAGAAAAATTAATAATGTTTTGTGAATTTAATAATTTAATGGTTTAACCTCATGTTGTAAGTTTTTATATAGTTTTATACAATGTTTTTCTTAATTCTAATTTCATTGTATTTACCATAACATATTTTAGCATATCCTGATGAAGCAAATAAATTTTGCGAAAGCTTGATTTAAGAACAAAGAGTTTTACTTATCCTGCCCTACTTAAATGACTGCATCCTCAAAATAAAACTTTATTTTATATATATATATATATATATATATATATATATATATATATATATTTACATCTACATATTGATTAGTTTATTTTAATTTTTTTTCGTATGATATATAAAATAACGTCCTGAAACATATTTTTTTTTTAGAATTGGCGAGAAATGACTCATCCTGCAGTCCATCTTCTAATATTTGGCGTCGTTATCGCTATCGAAGTAGTCTACAGCCTATTCAAATTATCACCAGATGATACAATATCGTATTTGACACATGCTGGTGGAGCTGTAGTAGGTTTACTGTTTGGTGTTAATATACTGAGGAATCTTCGAGTTAAGAAGATAGAAAAAATCATTTGGTTCGGTTGCTTGATTACATTATCGGCATTGTTTGCTGTATTCATAACATTGGATGCTGTTATGGATGATCCGGAAATGGAAATAAAAACTTATGGTGATGTAGAGCCTATACAATGTTCTTAATTTTTTTAAAAATAAATTTTTTAATATTTTTTGTATTTTTTAATGTTTATGTACATATGTATAGACTAGGGCGGATCTGTTTTGAAGTGAATGTGGGAGGTGACATTCAGGTTTTTGCAGAAATGGCTAGATGATAACGTCAGTAATAATAATTAACTTAGCCCCCCTCTTAAATATTTTGGGAACATTAATAAAAACATTAAAATATTTAGAAATGACTAAAAAATCGTTTTTTTCATACTTTCCTTGTTTATAACTTTAAAAGATTGCATTTTGGAGCAAAGTCGTACTGAAATAAAAGAACTACAATTAATTTTTCTATAAGATATGGCTGGTTAGTAATGTTTTAATTTATTACCTCTGCTGCAAAATAGCAATAAATACAAAAAGGGGGAGTAAAAATCCCTTTATTATAGCGGTAAACACAAATTTTGCTGACGGATTTTTTTTTACTTTTTCTAAGTAATTTATTCCACTGAATCTAAAAATTCCGTCAGATTTGCTCTATCAGATCGTTTTTAAAAAATCAACAGATCACATTTCTAATATCATCATCATCGATTAGCCTATATTTGTCCACTGCTAAACGTAGGCTTCCTATCTTGAGCTTCTTGCATTCAGTTTGTGTTGATGCGCTTGATATCATCCGTCCATCTAGTCGGTGGTCGTCCTATGCTTCGATATGCCTCTTGCCTTGGTCGCCATTCCAGAATCTTTCTGGTCCATCTATCATCCGTTAATCTGGCAACATGTCCAGCTCAAGCCCATTTAGCCATGGCTGTTTTTTCAACTGCATCTATGACTCCTGTTCTTCTTCTTATTTCTAGGTTTGGTACTTTATCTCTGATGGTAATACCTAATATTGATCTTTCCATAGCGCGTTGTGTAACTCTTATTTTATCTATTGTTGTTTTTGTCAGAGTCAGTATTTCTTCACCATATATGTAAGAACAGGTAAAACGCACTAGTTAAAAACCTTTTTTTTTAACAAACTGGGTTAATAGACTTGAAAATGTTATTCAATCTACCAAAGGCAGCCCATGTAAGACCTATCTTTCTTTTTATTTCAGTTGTCTGAGTATCTCATCCTAAGCGATTCTCATTCCCTAAATATTTGTAAGCTATTACTTGGTCGATGCTATAGCTCTCAAGCAGAATTTTACCGTAGACTACAAGGTTGGTCATAAATTTTGTCTTTGAGGTGTTATTTTTAAGACCAATTGTTTTTGAAACTTTATCAACTCTATCAGATATTAAAACGATGTCATCGGCAAGTCTTAGGTAGTTCAGATCTTCCCCATTTATATTAATCCCCATATTATCCTCTCGTTCCATTTGCTTGAACATATATTCAAGAACAGCTGTAAACAATTTAGGGGAGATAGTATCACTATGTCTAATTTCACGTTATATTCAAAACTTCTTGGTATCTTTATGAAGGCGGTGACAAGCTGTACCAGTTTCGTAAATACTTTTAATCAAGGCGATATATCGGTAGTCAATGCGCAGTCAGCCAATGCTCGAAGCATTTTATGATGATCTATAGTATCGAACGCCTTTGCATAATCTACGAATATAAGAAAGATAGGCTAGTTATACTCTGTACACTTTTTTATTAGCGTTTTTATAACATGTAGATGATCATTTAGTCCGTATCTGGAGCGGAACCCCGCCTGTTTACAAGGTTGATAACTATCCAGTTTGTTCACAAGCCGTTTTGTAGTCTTCATAAATAGTTTGTATGTATGGGAGAGCAAACTAATAGGTCTGTAGTTCTTTAGGTCTGAAATGTCACCTTTTTGTGCAAAATGGTTATTATAGCATTATGCCACTGGGAGGGGGTTACGCCTCTTGTCAAACAAGCATTGAACATCTTTTTCAATACATTTACTAACGTTCCTCCTCCTTCTTTGATTTGTCCAATGACTTTCCCATCTTCTACAGGTGATTTATTGTTTTTCATCTCCGAGAGAGCTTATTTCCTCTGTTGTGATATCTGGGATGTCTTCTGAGCCCACTTTTATTTTTATCAATGGCTTGAGTTATGTATTCAGTGTTGTAATTTCTTACATCTTTTCAAATGGATCTTGTGATATCTTTGTTTAACTGTCTAAGTGTTACCAAATTATCTGTGTAGTTGTCTTTCAAGTCTCTTCTTTTGTTTATAAGATCTTTAGTAGCTTGAGTGAGTTGATCCTTCTTGTTTTCTCTCCTTTTCCTTAAATATGAGCGTTTCGAATCGCACTATTTATTCCCATGTTTGTCACCTCCATATCTAATGCATTTTCATTTAGATGTTCTACTTCTTTCAGTTCTGAAGTTGATCATTATTTTTGCTCTAACCAACCGATGGTCACTCCTAACAGTGATTTAATTAATTACTAAAACATCTTGGACAATATTTTGTCTGTTTGTTCTTTTTGAAAAATGTGTTCATCACATAGAGCCGATGATGCAACAAAAAATGTAGTAGCACACCTCCTTTATCATTTCGCTCACTGTACCCAAATGAGTCCATACCCACTTCTGCGTCATCTTTTGAATAATCTCTAATTTCTAATTTCTAATATATCGTCGGCTTAATTAGCAAAATGCATGTCCACATATGGGTGAAAATTTTAATTTGGTGTCATCTATTCACACATAATGAAGCGCATCCGATAACATAGTCGGTAACTTCAATATTAAATTGCCTTCTTTATTATCTGTACAACAGAAAACGTTCTAAGTTCAGCCCCACCAATTTCGCGATGACAGAATACGTAACTCCAGTAGTTCCAGTAGTAGTTAAAATGCATTTAAAAAATGCACTTTGTTTGTATAGACCAAAAAAAGATCTGTGCGATACCTGTGTGTCCTTTGAAACAGGGAATATTCCAGAAGATCTCTACAATGAGCATGACAAAGATAAAAAAGAAGCAAGAGTTGAAAAAGATAATGATAAAGAGTCGCATAATGAAGTGTTTACTATGGATCTTCAATCATTTTTGCTTTGTCCTAAATCAAATGTATCTCTATTATAAAATTAAACTAATTGTGCACAATTTATGATATTAAACTCCAAAAAGTCTTCTGCTACCTGTGGAACGATTCAGAAGGGGGTCTCACAAGTAATGAGTTTACGAGTATTATTTTTCATTTCCTAAATCAGCAGGTACAGTTGTATAACTTGAAAGAAAAAAGCACTGAGGACACTGAAATCATATTATAGAGTTTAAATTTAATCACATAGGCTATAACTTAAATTTCTTCAGCCTGTAGATTTTCAATTTACTAAACTTATGTTTATTAATTTTTTCACCATACTAGCAGTCTTAAATGAAGTCATTTAAATATGATGTCTTATATTAGCTTCAAATATTTGCTATTTAATTTTTACCTTGTCCTAGATGTGATAAACATAAAAGGATAATTTTCATATATATATATATATATATATATATATATATATATATATATATATATATATATATATATATAAGCTAATATAACATAAAATACACTTTTAGACCACATTCCATACGACAAAAAGTAACATAGGTTGCCTAATACACAGGTCATTCTCTTAAACATGCTTTAACACCATCGGTGATTTCACATCTATTATACCCCAAAAATTTTTAAATCCCGACACCTAGATTGCTGTTATTATTTTTTAAAATCATCAAAATAATTTTTTGAATCTTTTGGCTGTAGTAATACTAGGTATAACTAATATAGTTCCATGTTACACTGATATTTTGTTTTCGACACCGTTCATAGGTATATTGTCAATCAGTTACCAGCTGTTCTCCGTGTGAAGAGGTTTACTCTCCGGCTCTGGAACTCAATTCAACCTTGTATGTTACCTGAAGTCATATTTAATTTAATACTGAACATCACAGTTTTTTAACAACATGCTGTATAATCTTTTACAACTATATGTAATTTAAAGGGTTTTTACCCATGTATTTTGGTGGCTCAGGCATTTTAACCTAGTAAGTATAACCATTTTTGCTTTTTAACCATAGTCAAAATTTCATAACCACGTTTGTTTAAACTAAATGGTTTATACTTATTTTAGGCAATTTTAAAATTTAAACCTGATGATGCACTGTTTAGTCCGAAAACGTTTGTTTTTTTGATGTAGCCCTTTTAAGGGTTTTTAAATAAATATACCCATTTACGAAGACTTACCTCTTTTTTGTGATACATGGTATACAGCCAGCTACAGGAATTATTTTCCTTGTGGATTATATTATAGAGTGATGGTTGCGGGTACCAAAACCGTAACTCAACGTTATCAAATGGTTTATTAAACTTTGCCTTAGATACTGGGTTAACGGTAACTCAAAAGTATTTACAAAAAGGTCACACCTAGATGGAGGTAGACAGTGTCCACTCCGTCATTGAGAGGCAAATTTGAAATAAAAAATTAACATTCCAGCAGATTATGTATCCATCTGTATAACTGCTTGCCATAAAAGTCCTTATAATATCAAATATATCTAAGGCACGATTTCTTAAAAAAAATATGATTACCTCCAGTTCGTTAAATCAATAACACCAGGCAAAGTTGTTATCGGTGAATCCACTGTAAACGATATTCTTCTTCTTCTAGTTCCATGACCGTTATCGATCGTTATCGACCATATTCGCTATCGTGACTTTATTGACAGCAGCTCTAAATAACGATGTAATTGATATTCCATACCATTGCCTTAGAATTTCCAGCCATGATGTTCTTCTTCTACTAGGACCACGATTGCCTTGGATCTTTCCCTGAATGATCAGATGTAAAAGATCATATTTTTCAGGGTGTCTTATAATGTAACCGAAGTATTCCAGCTTGTGTTTCTTTATTATATTGACGAGTTGTGTTGTTTGGTTCAGCCGTCTAAGGACCTCCTCATTTCTAACTCTGTCGACCCAGCTTATTTTCAGTAGTCGTCTGTATACCCACATCTCAAAGGCTGTCAAGAGTTTAAGGTTAGCCTCAGTTAGAGTCCACACTTCCACTCTATACAGTGGGACAGGAAAGATGTAGCAA